GGCACAATAACACCGCACTGTCAAAACAAAAGTACTGTTTATTAGGGTATTTTAAACCAAATCATGGTTTTATGCACAATTTTATGGTATATGTAAAAAAATAAAAAAAAATACTTCTTTTTTTTCTTTTTTTAAAACCAGACAGCCTGCAAAACCCGCAAGTGATGATGATCGGACAGATACACAAGTACTCAAGGAGGGACGGATCTAGAAGCCAGCCAGTAAAGGGGCCAATAATTAAAAATTTCATGCTAATTAATAACCTTATAATGTGATGATCATAAGCTTCATTCCTGCTTGTCACGGGTTAGAACTGCTTTTCTCCTGTACGTAGGGGGATGATGCCTGTCTTTTTAATTAAACAAAATCATAAAAAGATTCATAAAAGAAATAACTTCAGCACCTTTGACAGATAAGAATAAGCATTTTTACGAGAGATGTCATTGAATTAGGAAAGTTTTTTAGCACGGGGGCTTGCATCGTCACGGCAAGAAGATTCGAATGCTCTTCGTCCCTAAATTTCAACCAGCAGAAAAGCTTTTGATGCCATTCAAAGGGGGAAAACAAAAAGGGGGGGAGGCTCTGATGGGGCTATGATCAGTCACGAGGCGGCGATAACTGCGTATCACTCAGGCATGAGGAACATTTGAAATAGCCACCCCTATTTACGCTATGAGAATAGTGTCATATTAGCAAGATGTTAGAGAATATTTGGATAAAAATCAAGTCATAATTTTAAAAATAATTTTACAATAAATGAAATAATTAAGTCTATTTTAATTTATGTAAAAACACTTTTTAAAAATGTTTCTGGGCATTTCAAGCATTCTGGTAATTTCTTGTGTTTAACTAAATTTCTCTTGACTGATTATAAATGTCAAAAAGTATTTATTGCTTGCTACTCAATTAACAGTCTGGCAAGGACTGATTTGGAGTCTTGAAAGAAAAAATGAGAGGATAATATTCTTACCGCATAGTTATCTATTGTTGGTTGACGTTGTGATTAATTTAATTTAATGAGCATTGCAATCAAGTCTGAAAAAAGAAACATAATTATTAAAAGTCTCAATAACATTCTAAACAGCATGTAATGACAAATCTTAAAGTAAAAAAATAACAACTTCTAACATGTTATTGGGACTTGTTTGAAATTATTTTTTTATATTGAGATTTCATTATAATTTTCTTTATAATTTAGTACGCTGCGTAAGATAACTATTGGCCTTGTGACTTCCTTACAACATAAATTGGATCAGCAAAACAGTGGTTTTAGGTACCATTTTCGATCATAATTATAAGACCCAGTTGACTAATTTTGGGAGATTAAAGAACTTAGTTAGGTTAGTTATTTATAATGAATATATGTTGTTTTTTCTAAAATATCCTTACTAATCAAGTTTATTGGCTAGACCTATCATTATTAGAGGAACTACCTTGAGAAAAAATACATAAATATGAGAGATAGAGTGGATTGAAGTTTTATAATTAGAATCAAAATAAAAGTCAAATGAGGTCTTATATCAATGACTGGAGATAATATTTCTTTAATACTACCTCTGATCCTAATTATAAGAGCTATCTGACTAATTTGAAAAGATTAAGAAAGTAAGTTAAGTTAGTTATTTGTAATGAATATGTGTTTTTTTTCCTAAAATATCCTTGGTAATCAAGTGTATTGGCTATAACTATTATTATTAGAATGATTTTTTTGAAAAAAATATATAAATATAAGAGACAAAATTAATTAAAGTTTTATATTTAGAATAGAAATAAAAAGTAAATAAAATTTTATACAAAACACTGGAGGTAGTATTTTGATTGTACTGCCCTTGAACCGTGAGTGATTCCAACTCCTTTTCAAAAATTTGTTTATCAAAAATTTTTTTGATTGTACTGGCGCTCACGCCAGGTCCAATTTAAGGACTGTTGATGAGAACTCTAATGCACGATATGCCGGGTTTCCTTATATGAGAGCACTCCAGAGAAGCGTGATATTGAATCGAAGCCTGCATGATTGGCTGCCAAAAAGACAAATTAAAATACATTGCCGAATCCTAGTACAGATCTTTCGTGACATGCGTGGTCTCGCCCATTATCTGTGAAGCTCGAGAGTCGAGAAGATCAAAGAACAGCACAGAAATATACCCGCACCATATTATATTGAGTCATCTTGAGAGTTTTATTTGTGTTTTATGCTTTAATATCACGTTCTTTCTTCGGTGCCTGATACAAAAGCAAATTAACTAATTTAAATAAATTAAAAAATTTTGTTGAGTTAGTTATTTATAATAAAATATTGTCGTCTTTTCCAGAACATTATTGTTAATAATGTGTATTAGTTAGAATTATCATTTGATGAAACATTTAACATATACTACTACTACAAAAACTATTTTAAAAAAATAGATAAATATAATAAATAAAATAGATTGAGATATTATATTCATGACTAAATTAAAAGTCAAACTTTTATATTAAAAATTAGAGTCATAATTTATTGCTAAGTGTTGCTGAAGTATTCCTACTTTTTCATGGTCAACTCTGATTTGTCAAAACCCTCGAGCAAAATAAAGCCCCTGCAAGGTTAGCTGGATAACCTGGGAAAACACCAGCTGCATTTGATTATTATGCCCGATGACGAGAAAATCTCCCAATCAGTGGACTGAGAAAACCTGTACATTAGATGCAGCCGTCCCCCGAAATGAATAACAGCAAGACTTTCTTTCACTTATCGATATAGATATATGAAACACATGTTAACCGTAAATTTTTAAAAATTTTATTTTTAATAATTGCAATTTTATCATCTGTGCTTTTAAAAAAAAATCAACTGCTAATATCAGAAAGAAGGCTTGAAGATATGCAGAAAAAGACAGATGGTTCAGAGAACCAAACCCGGGCCACACTTGTCAATCAAACTTAGCCCCTCTTTCTCCCTCCGAATTACTCCCTCCGGTCCTTTTTCATGGAGAGATTAAAATTTTAAATGGCTTTGATTAATTTTATAAAATTTTATTTATCTAAATATTTAATGTGTTTTTATCAGTTTATTTCTAATTAATTTAATATATGAAATTATTCAAAATATTAATTATATTCTTTTTTATACATTTTTCCTCTTATTTGTCCTTTATAGGGACATGTTTGAAAAATTACTTTTCACATGTTTATTATTTTTAATTAATCTTTATTATTTTTTAAATTACAACAACTGCTCACCCTCAGTCCTTACGCCGCTTCCACGGGAAGAAAACAGCATCTTTCCGAGGGCAATGGAGGCATATCACCTACACAAACCATCGTTTTCAGTTTCGTTTACTTTGGCCATAGGCAATTCGCAAGAGATGCTTACTTTCCATAACACAGATACAAAATGAAAATTTTGATTCAAAATATAAAAAAATTCACATAGTAATTAATGATAGTTTTTTGAATGAAGAATAAGAGAGAATTTTAAATACAGGATATATTAAAAAAAAATCTTCCAATCATATTTTTTGATAAAGTTAAAATAGGTAACTGATATATCACTTTTAATTTTCAAACACATGTTTAACTAATGTTTTGTAAGAAGGTTTAACCAACGCCTAGAAAGTAGTGAGAATATATCATGCTATATTGCTATCTCAAGTCTTGAATGTAAAAACTAATTAACTAATTTGAATAGATTAAAAAAGTTAGTTATTTATAATAAATAAATATTATCTTTCTTAAAATATCTTTCTAATCAAGTAGATCTGTTAGAACTACTATTATTATAAGGAATGTCTTAAAATAAATAAATAAATATGAAACAAAGTGGATTAGAGTTTTATATTTAGAATCATCTTTATGTTTTTAATGAAAAATATAAAACATGTGAAGTATAAAGAAAATAGAGATCACATAAAAAAAGGATAATAGAGAACCACGACCCATCTGCTAAATTGGAATTATGTCAGGATATTTAATATAAGATTTAAATAATTAATTTTTAAAATATTAAAAAAATTAGTTAAATTAATTATTTCTAATAAATAAATTTCATATTTTTTAAAATATCTTATCAATCATATGTGCAATCGTTATAGAAATTACAAATGGGTAAAATAAATAAATATTAAAAATAGAATAAGTTAAGATTTTATATATAAGACTAAATTAAATTTTTAATTAACCTTTATATTAACCAGTAGTAGTAAGCGCTAACATCTCTTGGGATTAAAAAAACTGCTAACAATTAAAATTAAACATTGCACCAGTTTCAATTAATACAGTGCCAACACCATCAGTGCTGATAAGGTAATAAATAGAAAGAAATTTTTTTAACCAATAATACAGTTGATAAAAAATAAACTTATAACCTATAAAGTTAGGAATTTAAATGCTTCGACCCCGGTAAATTCCAAAAAGAAAGAGATTTTTTTTATTAAAAAAAAAAAGCAAAACAATAAACAAAACTCACATAAGTGTTACAAGCATAATAAAAAACTAGATCAAAGTACAACCACCGTTTTCAGTTTCGGTTGCTCACGCCCAAGCAATTTACAAAATGCGGAATACCTGGGAGTTCGCATAACTTGTATATTACTGTACTGCCCTCATGCTTACTTTCTCCTTGACCCATATGCTGGCCCCCGTTGAAGATACTCATTCAGAAAACTGGGGGCATTTTCGTGAACGAAGAGTCACGCGCTACACTGTAACACTGTCATCCCGAGGAGTGGGTTTTTCCCCCTGGGCCCTCCCCATGCCATGCCATCACCATGGGCTTCTCTTTCCAATGCGCTCGCATCACGAGGGGTGCTCTCTTCTGATCCTTCGCATTATGCGATGGCATTTTCGGTATTTAATTTCCCCAACGTTAACGATCCCATAACGTGGCCTAGCAACCCTGCATCCCCACACCAGTTTTTCTTACTGCTTGCCACGTAGGTTCACAGGTGGCAGTTTCGTCCCTGTCATCCCATTTCCCCTTCCCTTGCTCGCCTTTAAAATGTCGCCTCTGCCTTCTAATCTGCTCCTTATCCTCCCTCTGGAAGAAGCCATCGCCATAAACAGCGCAAAATCTAGGCTCTTATTCTGGCTTCCCTTCTCGCCGGAAATTTCGACTGATGCGACGGCTGGAATGGAGGCCCCGGCGATTGCTGATGCTTTGGATTTCCCGAGGATCCACCTAATTTTATCGTGCCGGCGCTTATTTCGGAACTTTAGCCGTAACTGAGAGAAAGCTTAAGCAAAAGCGACTGTACTTGCTTAGCAGAGTTTTCAAGTCATTCCATGCTTTTTGTCGTAAACCTGAGGATCATTATGGCAGTATAACTATATCAGTAGCAGAAAATCAGAGACACTTGCTTTTGATTATTTCTTCCTTTCTCTCTTCCATAATTTTTTGGTTCTCGGTTAACTACTTGATATTTTGTCATCGAATGGGAAATTAGAGGCGGAGACGCGAGAAGGTTTTTTCTTTCAATTACCGATTCAAACGTAAGCCCGGGCTTCGGATATGGTAAAGGCGAATTGAGGAGCCCTGATCTGGAGTCATGCCCTTCCATACTAAAGTTCAGCCAATCGATTCTAGCATCCCTGCGGAGGGACCTGGGCTTGATCAAGTCAAGCCGGTTGTGAAGTCACGCCTTAAACGACTTTTTGAGCGCCAGTTCCCGGGCGTTCTGAAGAATTCGGCGGCTGATAAAATTGCCGGAGATGAGCCGCATTTTGGCAAAGACGGATTCAATGCCTCCAGTGATTTCGAACCGAATTCCTTGTGCCTTGCGAAAATGGTGCAGAATTTTATCGAGGATAATCAGGAGAAGCACTCCACTTCCGTCAGGTGTGTACGTAACCGCTGCAACTGCTTCAACGGAAACTGTGAAGATTGCCCTGACGACGACGGGGACGCGTTCGGTGACTCTAAGTATTCTTCCAATGGCGAAGCGTCTGGTGTCCTTAAGGTTTGAGCGTTTTAATCAGATTTAGTTATTTCCTGTCTTTGAAATAAACGAGCTATTTGGTGGTTTTTGCAGTTGAATAGCGTTTTTCTAACACTTTATCTTACACTGCTCAGGGTTTGGTGGCCTGTGCAAGTGTTTGCGAAAGGAATTTGTTGGCAGACACTGCGAAGATCGTTGAGAAGAATAAGATCTGCAAGCGGAGAGATGGCCTCTGCCGAAAGATTGTTACTGACGAGTTGTTGGCCCTGGGATACGACGCCTCGATATGCAAATCTCGATGGGAAAAGTCACCCCTTCATCTCGCAGGTAATCTCTCTTTTTTATTCTATTTTACATCGGAAAAATGTCGCTGAGCTCTGTTTGGTTTCTGTTAATATATACATGAGCAAACAAAGGGTGCTAAACAACCTGGAAAAACGGATCCAAAAAAAAGATTACTCGGCCTGGCTAGGAACAGAATCTTTCTCTCAGAACATCGTTGTTTCAACTTTTCAGTATATGTATGCATGCCAGGGATTTCGTTCAAACTAAGATAAAGATTCATGCATGCGTCTGATTGATATATATGTGTGTGTTGGTTACAGTCTGATTGATATTTTTAATGTGGACAATCTTTTACAGGGGAATATGAGTACATAGATGTGATCATCGAAAACGAACGAGTGATAATAGACATCGACTTCAGATCAGAATTCGAAATTGCTCGATCAACCAAGTCTTATAAGGCGATTCTCCAAACCCTTCCGTACATATTCGTCGGCAAGTCGGATCGGTTGCAGAGCATTATAGCTATTGTATCGGACGCAGCGAAGCAGAGTTTGAAGAAGACAGGCATGCACATTCCGCCGTGGAGGAAGGCCGAATACGTGAAAGCAAAGTGGCTCTCCCCTCACACTCGAGTTACTCCGCCGGTGCTTTGCTTGCAGGAAATCGGGGAGACGCGGGAGAAACAGGAGGCTTTGATGGGAAATTCTGCCGGTGGGAAGTCGGATGGATCGGCGTTGGTTTTTTCTAAGGGTTCTTCCGGGCAGGATGAGAAGGGGAAGGAGGTGATGGAATGGAAGCCACCTGATGTGATACACCTCAAGCCCAAGATTTCTGGGTTCAAGGTCGTGACTGGATTATCAGCTGTCTTGGATGAACGCCCATAAAATTTTGTCCTTTCTTACTAATCAGGAGTTATACAATCTTGTAACTGGAGGCTGTAGCAGCTTCTATTAACTATGTTCGCCTGTGTTTTCACTTTCCCTTTTTTTTCCCCGGGAAGCCACAGTCCTGAGTCTCCCTTCTATTTTTAATGCAAGGGATGGAATTATCACTGATATAATAGATATGAATGAATAAAGTTGGTTATCGAAATGAGAATTTGATATTTAGCGTTTGATACTGAGCTGCACTTGCTCTTTTGGTGAACCTTCCCGATGTCTAATTGGTCTTTCTAAATTTAAAATTATCTTGTTTCTCATATTGTAACAAAATACAAAGCTCCATGGAAGCGACATTAATTTACTTGAAAAGTTTTTAAAGTATTCTTTTTCAAATAAACTTTTTTCTGCAAGAGAATGAGAAGTCGTGCTGCTGGCGGAAACTTGCGTCCCCCTTCTCCAGTTTCAACATATTGCTACGCGCCTGCGCAATGCAAATGGAGTGGAAATGAACCCGTTTGCTAACATGGAAGACGAGCAACAGATGCTTGAAAGCGACCTACCCACTAACTCCAAAGACAGAGCTGCGCTCAAGACAATCGAGAATCATTCCGTTCACTTTACTCTGACTAGAGTAGAGTGAAGAAAATTTGAGAGAGAGAATATTAATAAATTTTTTAATAACAAATAGTAATTTTTCTTTCTTTCTTTTTAAATTTTTTTTCTTTGTAGTATTCTCTTTATTTTCCATTTTTCCTCATTTATTTTTCAAAACTGAATGAATGTACCATATTAATTTTCAAAAATTTTAAAGACAGTTAATATAAAACATAAAATGAATATTGTAATCACATTGGCCTCTCAAACTCCATATAATTTAATTTATATACTTTATTTGAACCGTATTTTTAAAATCCTTAGTCGTCTTTTTTTTTTAATTCACCTTGGTCATCTTTTCATTGCACTTGCAACCCAAGGAAAACAAGGCGGGTCAACAAAATGAGAAGGGCAGAGAGCCGTTTGGTGTTTGCGGATCATGCAACGGTGCTTTTGTCGTGTGCTAGGCTGCTGGCCTCGTACCAGCCCCGGTCGCCACATAGAGCCTCGGAAACTGTGCATTGCTTTTCCGTTTCCTCCAGTTTGGCAGGGATCGGTTACATGACGTAAGAAGAATTTTATCTGATGTATATGAAATGTGTTTCTAAATATTTTAAAATATTATTTTAGATTAAATATTAACTACAGTTAACTACAGTTTGGGAGACCTCATACTAACTGAGATAGATATACGAGAGAACTTTTATCTCAATTTATATAAAACAAGTTTACAAGTATTTTTGGATTAAATGTTCACCACAGTTAACCACAGTGCATCAGTATACCAGTATTTTTTTTTTAAAACCTAACATCAGTATATTATTGCATCGAAGCATCCCACCCCGCAGACCCAAACAAAGGAGGGAACCAGTTTCGGTGCTCATCCATTTGATGAGCACCATAAGCTAATCAGATCTGAACGGTCCATATCTTATTTGGATAGTTTAGATTTGATTTCTTTTTAATTTCTTTATTCAAAATAATTATTTTAATATGTATAGAATCTAAAATAGTAATGATCTTTTAACTATCATTCTTTCAAAAAAATAGTTTTTTCTATTTAAAAATGATTAATTAAAGATTTTAAATCTGGACCGTTCAAATGAGATATAGACGGTTCAGATCTGATGAGCATATGGTGCTCATCAAAGAGATGAGCACTGAAACTGGTTCCAACAAAGGAGAGGAAGCATCATCCTCCTTGCACCACGGGCACGCGAGACATTTTATGATTTTGGGTACTTTTTTTTTAAAAAAATTGTTGTAACTACTTCATGCCACTTGACTTTTTTTCCATCGGCATCAATATACTCCGGAATACAAAATACCAGATTAATATAATTTATAATTAATTAGAAGAATTCAGAGCGGTGCCTTAGCTGATCTGGTTCTCACCTGGCGCTATCCATCAGTAGCTACCCGTGTGACCGTTAACAACGTTAAAGGACGGTTGTCACTGTAAGAGAATCGAAAGTAGAAAAGGAAAGTTTGTTGGGGCGTGACTTCAGCTTCAATAGCGTAGGAAAGATGCAGTTATTTTACCTCTCGGAATCAACGTCTCACCTACTCACCCCATAATATCTAACCCAACTCACCGTTCTTTTTAGTTAGTTTTCAACCTCCGCGTCGTCTTGCCTTGCCAATGCTGCCGCTTCTTTTGCAAATTTAAACGATTCATTATCGTCTTCAAAGTGTTTTTCTCCAGCCCCATGCAAATTCAAATTCAACCATTTGAAATGATCGAGTTTCCTTCATTTAGTTTGGAAAAATGGCAAACGGGAACCAAATGGCACTATTATTCCTTTTACGCTGATTCATACTTGCCGCTGTGTACGAAAACTTTCACGGAACATAGCTAAACATGGATCTTGGTAAAGGAAAATAGCTGTCTAAACAATCTTTAATTTATTATCGTCACATGTTTCACGAAACTGAAGGCTAAAGTTATTATATACAGAAAAAAGAAAGTTGCGGGGGAAGGATTTGTGGCTAGATTTGGCGTCACATAGTATTTCGAAATGGTGTCGGAAAGGTTGTCAGATTTTCTTTATCTCTCAGCCAGAAGAAGTCCAAGGTCCGTAATTAATTCGAAGTTGCAGCTTGTTGAAAGCAAGGCGAGGCAGGCACGTATCTTCGCCTTTTCGGAAAGGCCAGGGCGCTACCCATGAGCAGCTTCTGCCCGAGTCAATAATCTTGTCTTTTAAGCTCTGGACTTTAGTACAATCCATCTCCCTTCGTCACCTGCTTACTCACCACATCTCTTCTGATTAATGCTAGCGAGTTCTTCCTTTTCTTGTCCTCTTCCCAGAAAGGACCAAAAACAATTGTATTGCCCACATGCATGGGCATACCCAAAATTTCAAAAACTCCTCTCCGGATCTCTAGAACCCACAAAGAACCAATTACTTGTCAATGTCACGGATAATCATGTGTGGAAAGAACGTTAAGATAAGGTCATGCATACATATATATGGTGAGCAGGGAAGCACAGTGTAGCTAAACAAATAGATGACTGCATCATGATTATATCTGAACTGTCCTGTACTGAGGCAAGGCATACAACTCTTTATACCGTTCGCATTGTGGACCACAGAAATAGGGAGGGACCATTCTCGATCGTTGCGGTCAAAAAGCAAAATAAGGAAGAAGAGAGAAAGAGGAAATGAAATAAAGGGAAGGATTCCATCTGGTGTGAGAGTCGAGGGTTTTTTTTTTACCATTTTGAAATGCTAAATGCGAAGAGTGTGCGTGGGGATTCAAATTTTGCAATTACGAGTTTTGTATGCTGTGTCGGTGCAAAAGAAGCAGACGATATGGGTCGAGTGGTTCAGATTCGAATGCTGTAAATACACACTTGGACACCATTCATCCACCCATTCACGTTTGAGTGCCTTTCCCTCCCTTTATTTAATTTCTGTCTGTGTCCCTCTTCCTTCTTCCCCTCATTCGCCTTTCCCTATGTCGCAGCACCATTCTATTCCTCTTTCCTCCCCCTTGAACCCGCACGAGCTTAAAATTTCAATATTATTTTTCACTGCTTTGCATAAGTTCCCACAACAATACAGTATTAAGGACCGGAGGTAACATTATACTAATTTTCCTAACGAAAGTGTCATCATGATTTTTAAAGAAATGAACTTAGTTGTGGAAAATTTAATTAATTTATTTTTTCGGGGACATTATTGGGGTGCATGTCTTGTTTTACCTTCTCCCTCGGAAACGGGGCGTTAAAGGACTCCGGGTTCGGTTTGACGTAAAGACGGGCCTTCCGTTTGAAGAAGCGGTCTATTTAAACGGAGAATGGGCTGTTCGTTTGTGGCTCTTTGTGGGCCGTCTGTTCGTATCCAAGTCTAGAGAAGGACATGGAGTGTGTGTTTTTATTTATTTTGTTCTTCAAGTAACGGGGTTAGTGGAAAGATGAGGCCCAGTAACAAGCACGTGCTCGTGGGCCTTAAGTTGAGGGGTTGTTGCGCTTTGATTTTTGCTTTTTGACAAAGTGGAGTCCTGTGTTTATGGGCTTCAATATTTTTCCCTAAAAAATAACCGTATTCTGGCCTAAAATAGCCGAAATGAATAATAATTAATCATTGGGTCTATATGCCCACAATTAGTACTGTCTCAGAATTTGTTAAATGTTAAATTAGAGGAACTAAATTATCAAAATTGAGATTGAAATAATATTAATTCTAGAAACTGCAAACTCATAGTAATGTCAATCATATGTTATCAGTTAATCAAATAATAATAAATTCTAACAGAAAAGCTTATCGAATAGCTAAAACACCATGAAATCCAGGATACGGGGAATCCTTTCCCAGTGGACCTGGTTATACGTATTTTGTTTTTGCTTTTTTGGTCGCCTCGACCGATCGAATTGGTATATCGATGTCCAATCCCACAAGTTTGCGTCCAAGTCAACAAGTCAAGATTGCAGAACATTGGCGTGGTGATGGTGCCATCCCGGGGCATTAAATTCTGATGGAAAAACGGGCCATTTTTCGTGATGCAGCTTATATTTTGAGTTGTTTAATTAAATACTGGACTTTTCCTTTTTAGAAACTCCGAGAGCATCATCATTAATTAAATATTTTTATTTAATAAAACGAATTAAAAATGTAAAATTAATAATCAAGCACAACACATATGGTAATTAAAGTTGTGTCGAATAACAAGTTAATTCAAAATCTTCAAATAATAATTTAATTCGTTTGCAATTATTATGAATCTAATATTTTATTATTTGGAATGATCATCCATAATTTGCTGAAAACCGGACAGGCCCGTTTTCAATCTCGTTTCCCTTGAACCAGAATTGAGATCCATTCCCCTGTTGGCTATTCTACTCTGTTCAGTTTCGCAAGAGAAGCTACCCAAGGAAAACTAGCCGTGTCAAGGCCTCTCGGACCATTTGGCTTTCCGAACAAATGTTCAACACCTGAAGCAGTCAGAAAATCCTCCCCGCCTCATAGCCAGACTCAATTCCACGTATTTCAGTTTCTCCCTCTCTTTCATTCCATGTGGGTGCATGATTCTTAACGTACACCCCTCTCGAGGATTTCCTTCAGATCGCATTTATCTTACGGTTGCTTTCAGCACTCGCTACATTAATCTCCCTATGATTGCTTCGCCTCTGCACTTCC